CTAGTTGATCATTTGGAAAAGTGGCAGAAGGTGGATTTTTCCATCATCAACAACCTGAGGTATCAAGCAACCCAGGCTAATTGTGGAAACGTAGCCCCGCGGACATTTCTGGAGGCCGCGAAATATGTCCCGGGAGGTACGTATTTGTTATGCTAGCTTTTTCGCGTCTTGGATGTCTTTCGGGAGCGCGCGCCATTCGAGCCCGCGATGTCCTCGCCTGAAAAGCCGCCGGAGGCCGCTGTCGAGCGACCATCTGTCCGACTGTCTGAATGAATGACCGAACGATCGACTGGACAGCCGACCCAGCCACCCTCCTCCTCCTTCCCTAAACCCAAGAGACAATTTACAAAAGCCGTCCAGAAAAAAACCAAAAGCCCTTGTCCGATTTTGACCGCGTTTTCGGATTTCACCGCATTCACGCCCCATCGCGAACTCGTTCGCTTTTATTTTTTGGATTCTGTTTTTCATCTCACCTGATTTCTGGAACCGCTCTTCCCTGGACTCAAACCCGGTCGTTGCAGCGGCCGGCTCCACCTCCTCCGGGCCTCCGCTCCGCCGACGTAACACTATGAGCTAAGTGGACAAACTGGTTGCAGCGGGAAAGCCCTCCACATGGAGGTGAGCCGTCAGCCGGCAAACGTGTACAAAAAGAGCGACACCACACCGCCCTGTAGCGTTCGCTCGACAAAAACGAAATGCGGCCATACGTACCGTACGTAAATCGTGGTCTCCAGAAACTTCCGCGGGGCTACATTTTCAGAATGAGCCTGGGTTGGTATCAAGACACTTGTGCTGCCCATTTCATTACAAAGCACAGGAGAGGGCAAATACTTCAGCAGGATAGCGCTCCTTCTTCAGCTTCCACATCAAAGTCCCTGAAAGCAAAGAAGGTCAATGTGCTCCAGGATTGGCCAGCCCAGTCACCAAACATAAACATTACTGAGCATGTCTGGGCTACATTATTTTTTAAGTGACACGACTCTTGTCTAAACAAAGTCAGACCTTACTGTCCTAATTAAATAATAAAAAAATCAAGGCATGATCATATTTTATTTTGTTAAAATTTGCATTTTCATTTAATTACAAATAACATGCAGTAATTAAAATGAAAGTGCTATGCATTCTGACAAGGCATTGATAAGAAGGCACTCCAATAACAATTGTGTCAATCCATTAACACTAATTGTTTAAACAGTGTATAACTGATTTACTTGTGGCGCCATCACCCAGTCAACTGTGACTCAAGAATGACCGGTCAAATGGTGTCTGCATTACATTACAGCATATAACTATAATACAATTTAATCAGTACAATAACACCCAAATTAATTGAGTTATCTATATCACAAACAGATATACAACATAACAGTTACTCCATTATTCAAATCTTTTGAGACTCAGATCGAGATGTTTTTTTTGTGAAACATTATCCCGGCCTCACAGACGGCAGATAATATCATTTATGTGTGTTTGCTGAATCAGGTCATTATTGACTGCGAGCCATTCTAAACAACAGCATCAGCTCAACACACACACACACACACACACACTCACTCACTGGGAGTCAGTGGAATATGTACTGTGTAGTGGTAAACCGATAAAGCTTTGGCAGGGTTCACGTTATCAGTGCTTCGACAGACACCCAGAAACAAAAACATACGCCTGACCGCAGCTGTGCTGATAATACAGCATTATTTCCAAAGAATGGCATGTTTACAGTCACATACAAAAACACCTCACCTTATATGGAATAACACTGCTGTCATTTGTATAATTGCAAATATATATTCACTATCTAGTGTAGCTCTCGGTCTTTTATACTTACTGCAGATACATTTCATGCATGTGATTAATGAATGGCAACCAAATAAATCTGAAGGAATTGTACAACACCTGTTGAATGGTTATAGAGAAGCCAGCCAATGTATTCAATTCAAGTTTATTTGTACAGCGCTTTTTTACAGTAATTATTGTTCTAAAGCAGCTTTACAAAAGGTGCACATTATTGCATTGAAAAACTGTACAAAAGCACGCACATGCCTCTTAACTGGGTGCTCAGCCAAAAAAAAACGCAAGAGGTGCAAATTAAATAGTCATCAAAGGTGGCAACACCAAAGCTCCAAAAATACAAATTTATTCAAATGAGAAGGCTGACACAAAGCGTGTTACGTTTCAAGCCACACGGCTCTTCATCAGACAGTGTTCATCACAATCAGGTGCTCCTTTTGTATACTTCCAGATCACATGATATCCTCTTGCATCACAAAAAAACAAATAAACATATACATGCATATACATATATGTATATATATATATATATATATATATATATATATATATATATATATATATATATATATATATGAAAAACTAATTGAATAGCCCTGCACTAAATCAATAAGTTTTGAATAGCATTGGATATTTATACTACCCGATCAGCACTGGTAGGAGGCGTGCGTTGGCACAAGATCGCAGGCCGAGTGCCTTAGCGTCCCACCAGTGCTGATATACAGCCATATCGCACTGCTACTCGTGTGATATTGCTCATTTCATTCATTCATTCATTCATTCATTTTCTTGTCGACTTAGTCCCTTTATTAATCCGGGATCGCCACAGCGGAATGAACCGCCAACTTATCCAGCAAGTTTTTTACGCAGCAGATGCCCTTCCAGCCGTAACCCATCTCTGGGAAAATATTATTACATATATAATTACTATCTGTTCATTAGCTACTACAGCAGGGGAGTTCCTGAGATCTACCTGTGCTCAAATATTGCTCATATATATATATATATACATACATACATACATACATACATACATACATACATACATACATACATATATATATATATATATATATATATATATATATATATATATATATATATATATATATATATATATATATATACATACATATATAATCACTATCTGTTCATTAGCTACTACAGCAGGGGAGTTCCTGAGATCTACCTGTGCTCAAACTCCCCTCTCGCCTTGCAAATGGGAGGGAGCCCCAGGCTCGAGGATCTTATGAGCTCAGGGCTCTCTCACAGGACAGCATGCCAAACAAGCTTTATATTCAATCATCAGCTAAGTGTGAACTCTTGAAGTAAAACCTATGCTGAAATTGTTGGTGGTTCATTCTGTGGCAACCCCTGATAAATAAGGCTCTAGGCTGAAAGAAAATGAATGAATGAATAAAATGTAGGTAGACTGAACTAATTAAGTAGTGCTAAAAAAAAGAACTGTGTCTTAAGAATTGTGTTGTTTAAGCTGAATTTAAATGTCGTTTTAACAATTTGCAAATGTCATCTTTTGAAGTTAAACTGGCAGAGAAAAGCATAGCAGAGATCTTACATTCAGTAATATCTTGAATATAACTTTATTAGAACTGTAAAATGATTTTTTTTTCCTCTGGTGCTCTGGATATCTACACTATATTTTTATATGCACTAAAAATGATGCATGCAACACATTTATGTTCCTGCCTTTTTACCTTTAAGTTAATATCTTAATATTCAGACATGTACAATACAGTTACTCTTTTAAAAGATTCTCACAACTTAATAGGTTGCGCATTACGGCCGGATATGTCAGGCTCATCATGACTTGTGGCCAAATAAGGCAGGTTTGCAAATATGTCTATAATATTGCATGAGCTAGGCGACCTTATGCACTTTTTTAAAGCAAGACAGTGGCTAACAAAACAAAAATAAGGGTGAAATATCTGTGCCACAAGCACCAACAATCAATGGAGCACCTATAAAAAAGACCATTTTCAAATTGGTTTTCTCCAAATGTTCATGTACATAGACTGATAAAACCATTATAATCTCTATAAGTACATTATGAACCACTCATTGCTCCAGAGGCATGATTGAAAACATGGACATATATGGTGCTTAATTCAGTGTGTGAACATGAAGAATTTAGCATGCAGTATGTCATATGAAACTCATTAAATTTCTGAAATTCAGTAGGGGGTTCAAAAAATTTCAGACACCCAGTGCTTATAGAAAAATCATCATAAACCCATTTGAAATAATGACTTTGTCATACAGCCTAAAATTAAATCACATTTTTAAAAATAACGCGGTTTTATTGAGATAGAGATGGTCAGGCAAGCAATAGTCACAGGGGCAAACAGATGTATGCAGGCAAGTCATAGTCAAAATAACAGGAAGATGGATCAAAAACACAGCAAAGCAAGGCAAAGGAAAATGTGTTGTGATGTCACTATACAGCTAACAAGACTCAGCAATGAGTGTCTCAAAGTGAGCCGTACATCAGCTGTTTGTTTGCAATCAGTTAGGATCAGGAGCCGGTTGTGTGTGTGTGTGTGTGTGTGGAACATGACTGGTTCTTGTAGTCCATTTACCTAGCAGATTTGTAGTCCTATATGGGAATGAATGTTTTCCAGCGCTCTCTGGTGGTTAGATCTTGGTGATTGTGACAGATTTGTTCTGTAGACAATCAATATATATATATATATATATATATTGAGAGAGAGAGAGAGAGAGAGAGAGAGAGAGATTTTATCCCTGCTGAAAAAAAACAGCTTAAACCAGCCTAGGCTTAGTATATATATATTGCCTAGTGCTTATATATATATATATATATATAGCTTAAGAGGGCTAATAATATTGGCCTTAAAATTATAGCCAAACTTCTTAATTATAGCCAAAATAAAACTAATAAGACTTTCTTCAGAAGAAGCATACTGTGAAAAATGCTTTATTTCATCGCAATCATTATTTGGGAAACATTTTTAAAAAGAAACAAAAATTTAAATCTAATAATTGTGACTTCAACTGTATAATTGTTATACAAACTGCAAGTAATTAATGTATTTAAAATGTAATCATGGTCTCTTTTCAATGAAAATATATAATATTTGTTTATTTTATTTGTTCAGGTTTCCTTGCTTTATTTTCTTATAGCTCAAAGGTGACTTAAAACCTGCATAAACAATGCTTTTCTTTCTGTCTTGCAGAATGATGGCCGATGTTCAGTTTGTTACAGGATCTCATGTCTCCAAGACAGCTCTGACTCTGGGACGAGGTTCCCCCAGCAAAGAGCCCCCCGTTTTTACCCTCCCGCCCCGCAATACCCGTGTCTGCCAAGGGGGAACTGCGCGCCTTGAGGGGAAGGTGAGACACATTCTTCATAATCATCCTGATCCAGATCCCCAGTAGTGCAATGAAGCAGACACCGCGTGTGCCAATGAATTTCATTCAAGTCTCCCAACAATAATCTATTTTAGACACTAGCTCCGATAGCCAAGCGAGCTGCCTTTGCTGTCTACAACACACACACACACACAGGCATCAGGCAGTTGTGAAAGAATAGTCTTGTTTTGCTAAGGGTTTACAGAAATATGTGATCCTTCTTTTCGAATGTCAAGCCTTCCTCCCTTGCCTTCAACTGATAGAAGAAACATATAAAATATTATGTAAGATTATATGATGAGTTTTTCCTTGAAAGATTCTTATCATGCAAACATCTGCGTTCTATTACGTCCTGCGAGTGTGGAAGGGGTGCGTTTAGACACTTCCTAGCGGCCTCAGACAGACACAGCAGGCAAATATAGCAGAGGTTCCAGTAATATATGTGTCTGTGGAAGCTCAGTGTGTGCTGTCTAAGGCCAGAGAGAGAGGAACATTTTGAGAGAGCCCGAGAGACTCAGTTGCAGGTTTCTAGTATCTGCGCTAAAGATGTGTCGTCTTAAATCTTTAGGCTGATTTATACTTCTGCATCAAACGCACGCGTATGCTACGGCGCTGACGCATAGCCCTTCGCCGTGGCCGTCGGCGTCACTGACGTGCACCTCTCAAAAAATGTAACTACACGTCGCAACGACGCGTATCGCAAGCTCTGTGATTGGTCGGCTTGGTAGCGCTGACAAGTCTGGGTGGGAAAGAGAGCCGCGCGAATGGCGTGAGTTGGACGCGAGCCCAATGTAGCGATTGTTTACAAGAGTGGAGTCCCCTGAAGGAGCTCCGGATGGAAAGTTTTGTTTTGTGTTTACCTCATAGTTAAAGTTGTTGCACATCCGCCGGTTCCTGCCTCAAAATGAGCGAGTCTGAGCCACTTGTACATCCCGGAAGTGTTCAGGAAAACAAAACAGCAGCGAAGAAACTCAAAACAGAGGAACATTTACACCTCACTGCCAACTAGCGTTTCGGAAGTGTTATTGCAGACCAACAGAGACAGCGCGCAGAAGTATAAATGCACAGCCACGCGCGTTGCATGTGCTGATGGTTACGCCGGTCACTTGATGCAGAAGTATAAACCAGGCTTTAGAGGGAGGGGGCTTTTTACAGTTAAACTGGTTAAAACAAGGACAGTGTGGGTTCAGTCCAATGTGAATGCATGATCATGCCCAGCAAGCTAGCAGGGAGCTTCAGGGTAACGCCTCATGTGAAGGGGTGTTCATAAGACAGTGTGAATGAAATTTATGCATGCGTCATTTGCTTGGTTATGTCATTTGAATTGCAAAGATGACATGGTTTGTTATGACAACTTGACATGAACAAGTACATCACAACCTGGTTTTTTCTTGGTCAACTTGATATTACCAACAAAACTTGTCATAAATCTGTCATAAACATGATTGCTATGAAGCCATTATAAATGTGGTAAACTAAGCAAAACAGTCTGGTGTTGATTTAGGGCGCACTCACACTAGGGCTGTGCAATTAATTAAAAATCCGATTTCGATTTTGCCTTCTAACGATTATGAAAAACCATTAATCGAGATAAACGATTTTTGCATCATATACCACTCCCTTTCCAGTTGTACACGTGTTGATCCTTTAAAGCGCGACAGACCGCATGATTCTGTGTGCCGCGCACACACAGAATTGAAGCATGCAGTCAGTTTGGTCTCACTCGCACACTGAGACGAGCAAAACGCAGTCAGCGCACACATCTAAAGTCATCTTACCGTAAGCGCTTTAATGGTCAAATAGGTGTCAAAACGCGGTGTTTAGTGATTATTCATATCAAGCATCATTTGTGTAATAAACAAACGAGTTGAGAATCAAAAGAGACGCGAAAGAGAAACTATTAAAGAGACAGCGCGCTATAATCCTTCTGCCGCCTGTTTCTACGATTATTAATCAAACAACAAATGGAGGACATGCCTCTGCTCTTGACTGAAGGACTTTTCTAGCTAAAGTGTTTCTTAAAGTGAAGATGCTTAAAGCACAGTTTGTTTTATATTTTTATTCTATTGTATTTATTTCTCTTTCCTTTGCAGGGTGGAAAATAACTGTTTGTATACAGTTGAATTATATATATATGTGTGTGTATATATGTGTATATATATGTATATATAAGGGCTTGTTATCACATGATTTCTTTACCTGGCATTTTTCTGTAAATGTCTATGTGTGAAAGGGAGTAATGCTTCACACTGTAAGTTTAGATGTTCAGTTCAGTGAGAGGTTAAAACCCTCAAGAGTGACCTATAGGGTCACTAGCACGGTTTAGAATCATAAGTCATTGTAAAGCTTACGAATATTTAAGTGGAGGCATCATGAGGCCTAGACACATGGGTAAAGACCACTCGCACTTGTAATTTAGAGAAATTTATTGACATGCAGAATACCAGACATTCCACTTCAGGTCACAAAGTCCTAAGTTTAAAAAAAAAAATGTTGTTCTACCCGCAGCACTTCCATATGGCACAAGTGTTTTAAACAAGTATAATTCACCATTGCTCCGCAAGTAAAGTGTTCTAGCAGAGACAGGAAAGCCCTGAGCACAGGTACAGCTGCTGGATTGGAGCGAGTTTGTTACAGCCGTCAGTGGAAAGTCTGACAGGGTCTCCTCTATCTTCATATGTTAGCACTTTGGCTGAATTCACATATTCTGAACACAGACAGTGGCTGTTTTAGCTATTAGCAGAAATACACAGGCTGAAAACACTACAGCTGCGTCTAAAATCGCATACTTTGCTACTTTATAATATGTCAAAAACAATGATATCTCACGGCAATTCGTAACTTGTTGATTTAGTGGCTAATTCATATGAATTTGTACGATCTCAATTGTACAATTTAGTATTATTTTCTACTCCCCCAATGAAGGTTGAGTTTAGTGATGGGGTTTGGTGCCATGACTACTTTTAAAAAACATACATTTTCATCCCTACTGAAAAGAATTGCTTAGACCAGCCTAGGCTGGTTTAAACTGGATTTTTCAGCAGGGATACGACTGAACTTATACGAATTTCTATGAATTAGAACTAACTGACTGCTAATATTTTTGAGCTATATCATTAATTATTCATTATCGGCATCTAGTCACTGGGCTTTTACAAACGAGGTGGTGTTGTCCAGGCAGGGGGACAGTGACACACGACCACACCTGGAGTGCGTCCGAAATCGCATACTTCCTTCCTGGGGTGCGTTTCCCAAAGCCATGGTTAGCCAACTAAGGTTGCAAGTTGTGTCGTTAAAAACATAGTTTGTTGATTTGTCATTTCTCAAATTCGTTGCTCCAACGAACATTCGCAAACTGCGTCGCAAACTTGAGCACTCACAACTACAGCTCTGGAGCTGTAGTTAGATACACAGTTTCTGGCTGTGTTCTATTCCCACTTATCCCCCCTATGCCCTTTTCATTTAGAACATTTTAACATTCAAATTTGGAATTATTAAAAATAAAGAAAGCATTAGGTTCATCTCTCTTAGGTGTAATTTGCTTCCAAACTATTTTTACCGTTCAGTTTTAGCGATCTTCATGTTTACAATTGTGCTCCCTTCACAGTGCACTTTGACAACATTGATGTCATTTTGAACACAGCCTCATGGCAAAAGCTATAGGTGAACTATTAAAAGTGGAATTTGTTACGTCTCCAAAGCTTGTGAAAAAAAAAAGCATACGTTAATTATTTTAATTTATAGGTTATTTATTAAGTATCTATACTGTATATGACATGAGCCTGCTGGTTAAAACATTTATGCATTGGTTTCAAATTGTGCCAAATTGTAAAATAAGACTTTTCTAAAAAATTAAAAAATAAATAAACAATATCCTGCTTAATGATAATAATAATAATAATAATAATAATAATAATAATAATAATAATAATTATAATAATAATAATAATAATGATGATAATTATAATAATAATAATAATAATAATAACAATAATAACAATAATAATAATAATAATGATGATAATAATAATAATAATAATAATTATTATAATAATAATAATAATAATAATAATCATTATTATTATTAATAAAGTGTGATTTTTTTCATTTCTAATACATACTGAATGTTAAATAAAATTTTATAATAAATATCCTCATTATTTATTTATTTATATGATTTACATATGAGATTAGAATACGTTTTAGCTTTTGTAAGTGATTTTATGTTTTAGAATAGGATATGTCATATTCTCAATAATATTAGTAAAGCAAACACAGGCCTTATATGGGCCATTTACATATATTTTAATTATTATGTTAAAAGAGTGCATGTTTCAGCAAATCTAATATTGGATTTTATTTTAAATGCATATGTGTGTAAAACAATATAATTTGCACAAAGAAATGATGGGGTTCTTCTCTAAAGAATTAGTGCTCCGCCCCGTTTAGTGCGTCATTATGAGCTTTTTACAATACGTTATAACTAACGTGGTTCAAGCGATGGATCTGCAACTGAGAAACGATGCGTTTTGGTGGGGGCACAAAATGTGAACCTCCATAACCCCTCAGTAAATGTGCCTCTGTCCATGCGAACACTGAGAACACAGAGAACATGCAGACTCCACACAGAAATACCAACTGGCCAGGACTTAAACTAGTGACCTTCTTGTTGTGAGGCGACAGTGCTAACCACTGAGCCACCATGCCGCCTACTAAAAGCTTTAATTTTTCTCATATTTGCAACCAAAAAAGCAATAATTAATATTAATTGTGCTATATTATTTCTGTTCCTGAAATCATTTTTGCACCTAATTTCGACAAACGTATGCCTTTTCACTTTTTTTTAACCCTTTATTCAAATTCTTTCACAACGTTTGACTTGAGGTTATGAGTTTTCAGTGTGCTGTGGTCCGCTCTAGTCCTTCTTTGAGACAGCAATAAGAGAACAAACAGGGATTAAAATACCTTTGTCTTGTGACGGC